TAGGATTTTCTTTTTAAGTAATCTCTACACCCAACGTGGGGCTTGAATTCAAATCCCTGAGATCAAGAGTCACATGCTCCACCGACTGAGCCAGCCAGGCGTCCTGAGAACCTGGCATCTTTTTTTTTTTTAAGTTTTTTTAATTTTTATTTTTATTTATTTGACAGAGAGGGAGACAGCGAGAGAGGGAACACAAGCAGGGGGAGTGGGAGAGGGAGAAGCAGGCTTCCCGCGGAGCAGGGAGCCCGATGCGATGCGGGGCTCGATCCCAGGACCCTGGGACCATGACCTGAGCCGATGCTTAACGACTGAGCCACCCAGGCGCCCCAGAGCCTGGCATCTTAAATAAGGAAACTATCAAAGTCTACTCAGGTCACATCAAAGGCACATGGGAGCCAATACAAACAGCTCTCAATGGCCTAAGACAGGACCATTTGAGCCCCAAAGAAAATCACCATGTAAGTGTAAACAGGTAAGATATTTAAAATCCATTAGTTTGGAAAGATACTGAAAACAACAGTTAACTTTGGGAGGTTGCTAGGGCATTAACTCATTGTTTCAAAAACTGGTAAATACAGACAACAAATCAAGCCTTGTATCTCATCTTCCCACATAAATTGTACTTTAGGGTAACTAAATGAAAGAATTCCAAGTAATAAACATAGGAAGAATATCGGAATTAGAAAATAACTATTTTTCAACCACTAATGAAACCATGATGTGAGATGAGAATTTATAATGGAGGGACCCACTGGTCATCTGAACATCACACCAAGAGAGACCAACAGGCATTAAGTGCACAGCATCACAGATGAAATGTTTTTGCCAAAATAGTCAACCTGAACCTGATCAAACTTTTAGATCTAATGACAAATTTACAGGAAATACAGGAGACAGTGCAATGTGACAGTACACAACCAGCTAATCCCGGACTGTGGAAAATTCTGCAGGACAGACAACTTTTTCTTTAACAAACAAGTGCCAGAAAACAAAAAGATGAAATTGTTAATGATTCGGAGACTTGCGATACATACAACCAAGTGCCATGGGTGAGCCTTGTTTGGAACCTGAGTAAAAACAAACCAACTATAAACAAGACATGGAATTGGAACACTGGTAACATTAGATAACGTTAAAAGAATTATTCATTTTTCAGGTATGATAAGAATGATCGTTGAGAGGCACATTCTAATTCAGTGACAAGTAAAATGATGCTCGACCTAGGATTTGCTTTAAATAACCAAGCGGGGGGCGGGGGGGGGCGCCTGGGTGGCTCAGATGGTTTAGCGTCTGCCTTCGGTTCAGGTCCTGATCCCGGGGTCCTGGGATCGAGCCCCACATCGGGCTCCTGGCTCGGCGGGGAGCCTGCTTCTCCCTCTCCCTCTGTCTTGCCCCCTGCTCATGCTCTCCTCTCTCTGTGTCTCTGTGTCTCAAATGAATAAATAAAATCTTTCAATAAATAAATAAATAACCAACCAACCAAGAAGGGGCAGGGTAGAAGGACCAGAGGATTGGCCATATAAGTACTATCTGTACAAGCTGAGTGACAGATCCACAGGAGCGTATTATAATACTCTTTCTCATCTTGCCTTTGTTTATAAATATCCAGAGCTTAAAAATTTTCGAAAGTACTTCAGTTAAAAAATGGAAGAACTAAAAAGATGAATGCAAATGTGACAGAATGTTAATAACCGCCAAGTTCTAAGTGATGCGAGTGCGGATATTTATATTTTCTGTATGTTTGAAAATTCGTAACAGTAAACAAAATCGTGAAAGCACTTAAACCCAGCAAAGACTCAAGAGTTGGCTCAGGTTAGAAGGATTCTGAGATGTAGCCAAAGACACCCAAGGCCGCTGTTTGCCAGGGATGCCCTCAGAAGATTAAAAGCAAATGACAAAGTATACCAAAAAAGTTTGAACTTGAACTACTAAATTACTAAGGAAAGGAAAAAGAGGGACTTAGGGAAAAGGACTCCAGCTGACAAAAATAGTGAAGCACACTTATTGTACTCCTGATAAAGGATCTCCATTTCAAAGTGAAGCCATGGTCAAGTGGGAAGAGAGATGTTTTATGATGCTAGTTCCGGACCCAATCACAGAGTCAGGCTAGCACCATGCGCCCTCCAGCCTAATGCCCTCAGCTACAGGAGTATAAACCACAACCCCATGGAAGCAAAATTTTTTATGATTTGGAGTTATAAAATAACTCAAGACAAAGCAGATGGCCCGCTTGTTTCTCGGGTACGTCAACCAGCTTCTGACACCAGCAGCTATAGAAAAAGCACTGTTCCTTGACCATGAATGCTAACCCTGGCAGGGTCTCACGCCCTCTATTCCTAATAAGGCTCTTTCCCATACCTGATGATGACACACTGGTTCTCTCTGTCAATGATCATGTTTCTGTACATATTATCTGCAAGAGCATAGATATGTGGTGGGTTTTCATACTGTGCCTAGAGAAGCAAAAAACAAAAGCAAAACCATGGTCAGATAGAGCAACACATCACATTTCTTTTCTTGGTCTTAGCAATGGATTTGCCCCTGTACAGTTCCAATCTTAAGGCTTGTGTAACACAGGAATTCATAAGCTTGCCTAGGTCATCAGGAGTTACACCTAAGAAAATGAGGATGGGACTGGGAAGGACTCCTCCATCAGCAAGAGTGTGATTCAGCCTTCAGACATGAAGACATCTTCAGATACTCCGGCACCACACCCTTCCTCCCAACATGCCTCTGCAGATGACAATTCCATTTCTAAATGTTTCTGAAGACATCTGGGCAACAGGTCTTAAGAGAGGCCTACTAAAAACCTGGATCTGACTTTCACTAGAATTCTAAATTCCTACGTAATTTTTTTCTAAGAGGTAAGTTGGAGATGCTGAAAGCCCAGGTAAGTTGGAGATGCTGAAGTGAAGCTGTCTATGAGTGAGGAGAAAACCTAAACATTTTCCCTAAGAAGAGGGCGAGAGGAGTAGTTCTTTAAAGGGATAAACTGATTTGACCAGTTTGTTTCATCTCAATGGGCAGGGAAAAAAAATCCTACCACACCAACATATTCTCCTGGGGCTTTAGTCTCATGGGCTAGCTTAGCTATGCCTGAATACAAATTCGCCAATAAGTTTATTGTGTCAGGACGATTTCAGCCCCACTTCCCTCAGTTTCTTGAAGTTTAACACCACTACCTCAAAAATTACTGAAAAGAAAAATACTTCATGTGCTAGAAAGCTGAAGAGAAGTTGCCTTACCTTTAAGACTATCTAACATCAAAGAGTGATGTTAGATGGCAGATCCAGTGAGAAGACATGTAGACTCTGTCTTACCCTTCCCTGGTCCCATCTCTCAAGTAGGGATAATACTGTCCCACACTCAACAGAGTTGCGTACTTAACTTCTCTGAGCCTTACTCTCCTCATCTGTGAAATGGGGCTGGACAGTAACATACAGTCAGCACCCAGGGCTGTTTAATTATTGTTGTGGTGTAACAGAGTACCCAGCGTTCAGTAAATACCAATTTTACAACACTCTTAGCATTAGCAGCTAAGAATAAATGTATTTTTAAAAATTCTAGGGCATTTCTTTAAAGAGAACTTTTTAAGAGATAAATGGTCAAAAAGGGACTCATGTAACAACGGTTTTCAGAGAACGGGAGAGAAACGACACGAATGCGCGGCACTCCCAGCCATCCCGCCTTGGCCTTGGCCGTCACTGAGAATGAGGAGCCAGCTCCAAGCCTGCTGCCCCGGGGCCCCGGTTCAGGGCGCCAGGGCAAGGCCCAGCCCCTGCTGACAGTGTGTCCCTTGTGCTGGGCTCCCATAAAGGCAGCATTATCAAAGGTCTTTCGCGTGGCAGCCTCTTTGGGCTCCAGCTACCAGCACCATTCATCTGGCAACAATGGGGTGGGCTCTTGCTCTGGGTAAATTGCCTTCCACTTCAACTGATGAATTTGTGTGGGCTCTCTTTTGTTTGTTTTCCAGGGGTCAGGATTAATGAACGCTCTCGTACTTCTGCTGCAGAGGAAAGAAGGGAAAAGATACAGGGAAAGGGAGGCCTGGGGAAGTGCTGAACCACGTAAATGAAATATATTCATTAGATTTACAGTTTCTATTTTTACACACAACTAAAATGGCTACGGAGCTGGATCTCAGTAGGGACCAGGGTCACATTAACAAAAGAAGTTATGAAAAGATTCATTTTTCAGGTTCCATTCAAAGCCATAGCTTAACTGAGGTTCTGATCTGGAGGGAATGGTTCTCATCACCCTATTTATTTTTTACCCGTTACTGATTTTTCAGTCCTTAGAATTTTGTGGCCTGCGTGGAAGGAGGAATTCCCCCTTCCCCCACCAAGCTGTAGGTCCTACATCCTATTTGACTAAATTTGTATATAATATTCCCATATTAGATAGTCCTACGCTTCTTTGAGCTGCCTTCTAAAGAGCAGCACATCATTAAAAATCAAACAATGTCACCTACTTATCTTCCCCAATAAATAATTCACAATAAGAAAATGCAAATGTATTGTCAACTTCAGGAAAAATTACCCATGCAACATAAAAGCCCCAAACACTACAGTAATTTATGTGGCATATAACTTACCGCTCCTTGGTACATTTCAATTTCCTTTTCCCCAAAATATGGCATCTGCTTGAAAGGGTTGACTGAGATTAATACGGATCCTATGTATGTCTGAATTTATATCCAGTTAAGGTCCAGCATTAATCTTCATAGCTACACATTTTTCAAATTAAGTAACCAGATGTTATCAAGAATTCATAATGACTGTTCAAACAAAAAGCTCAGATACTTGTTTTCTAAAAGATTACAAATAAAGACAAAAGCAATTACCAACTAGCTCAGGTTTTGTTCCTCTCCAGGAAGAGTAATGAGCTTAATTACCAAGCTGTTCCAAAAAGAAATCATTATTAAGACTGGTGACATGTATGGCTAAGGAAAACACAAAACAACACAAAACAGAGATGACCTAGGAGTGAAAAGAGCAGTCATCATTCCTTTGCTCAAATATTATCTTTTCCTGGAAACTTTCATAGCTCTTAGGTAGACTAAATATGTATTCACTTACTCATTTAACAAATAGAGGGATACAAGATGAACTGAACAGTCCTACTCCCTAGAAGCTATGGGGAGCTGAGTTATATCTGTAAGACATTATTTGGAGCAGAAAATCACAAATCCACACAGATCAGGTGTAGGGGAAGAAGGTATTATTTCTGCATGGGGAATCCAGGAAGGCCTATCAGAAGAGAAAGCATTCATACTGAGTCTTAACTGTTTCATACAGCACATTTTAATATGTCCCAATAGATGAAGTATTATTATAACATAAAAAATATTTCCATTTATTCAATAATCGACTAGTTTGAAGTGGGTGTCCACAACGTGCCAGGCACGTTCTGGATGCCGGGGGATACAGCGGTGAACAAAACAGAAGAGTTAAACTCCCTCCCCTCATAGAGGAAAAACAATTATTTAAAAAGAGAGAGAGAGAACAACAAACACAGCAAAATACACATACTCAAAATCATTTCTTTTAATCAATGATTTTGAAATTTTGGAAAATTTGTAAGATGTAAAACTGTGACACTTCCTCCCCCAAGGGGACATTTATATATTATATAAAGGACCTGGATGTCAAATAGAGCAGCTAAGGGAATCCAGTCAGAGTGCCTACTTTACCCAAGCCCAGTTTGACTCTGACCTTGGGCAGGTCATGTCGCTAAGCAGTGGCTAATGGATGATGGGGTACAATACCACCTACTTGATAGGCTTATTACGCGGATTAAATCAACAGTATAGAAGCCTCGGGCGCCTGGGTGGCTCAGTTGGTTAAGCGACTGCCTTCGGCTCAGGTCATGATCCTGGAGTCCTGGGATCGAGTCCCGCATCGGGCTCCCTGCTCGGCGGGGGGTCTGCTTCTCCCTCTGACCTCTTCCCTCTCGTGCTCTCGGTCTCTCATTCTCTCTCTCTCAAATAAATAAATAAAATCTTTAAAAAATAAAAAATAAAATAAAACTATTAAGCAGATAAGAAACATCCATGATGTTGTAGCCGAGACTCTGTTAAGTGTTGGTAATACAAACACTGATCGAACACGAACACATTTACGGGGTACAAATTAAGCTCCTAACAACAACCCTATTACCCTTTTGCTCCTGTTTTACTGTGAGGAAACTGAGGCATAGAGAAATTTTAAAACTTACTCAGAAAAAAAAAGTTTTTAATTAAAGGAAAAAAAAACCAAAACTCGCTCGATGTCCCAAGCTAGTAAGTGGCAGAGCTAGGATTCAAACCCGGGCAGTCTGGTTCTAGAGTTCACACTCTTAATCAAAAAGCTATAATGTCTTCCTAAGTCAGCAAGTATTGTTGTTATTATTACTGGCAGTCCTGCCAGAGTTAGCAAATAAAATACAAAACCCAGTTAAATTTGAAGTTCAGATAAATAATGAATTTGTTATATATATATATATTCCCCTTGCCCCCCCCAAATAGGTATGCCCCCTAGCAATACTTCGGGACACACTTACACTAAAAAAATAATTTGGTGTTTATCTGACATTCAAATTTAACCAGACATCCTGCATTTTATCTGGCAATCCTAAATTGGCAGCACAAGGATTTCATGCAGGGTGGACAGGGGCTCAATTGGCAAGCTTTATGTCTCTTACAATTTAGATTCTGTGATTCTTTGAGGACTCAAAATTCTATAACCCTTAGTTGATTTTTTTTTTTAGTATCCTTTTCACATGACAGGGACCAAATCAAAACTGAATGAATGTCGTTTGGCCCTCATTCTGACTCTCATGCTAAACAAATACAGTCATTCTTATGGTAAACCCAATTTTCAAGGAATACAGCACTGCTGCGACCATCCTCATTTCAGCAGGGGAGAGGTCTAGGGGTCCATTTACCTCGAGATGAAAACACACCTGGCCAAGTATGATCTTTTCGTGGAGGAGGGTGCGCCTTCCCTTAGTTGTAAAGGGACTGCTGTGAAGGCCACCTGTCCTAGACAAATCAGCACTGCACACAAAGAAGAAAGAGCTGCCTGAGGACATGGGCCACAGGTATCAGCTCCCCACCAACCCCTTCCTACCCACCAAGCCCTTGGCTATTGGATAAACATGGACTGGGCTGCATGAGAGCTCTTGTAGGAACCAATACTTTTTTTTTTTACCGTTAATAATCTACTATGTGAAAAAACATCTTAGAAAGTCTTGATTTTCACTAAGTCATCTACATAAATTCTAGGTAAGGGCCTGGTAAGAAGACAGAGAAAAAAACCTCTTTCAGATTATTCTAGGCCAATCCTGAATCAATGACTCAGGAGAAGAGGGAAAATTATAGCTATTCCCTCAACCTCCCAGTAGGGCTCTCGAAGTCAATTTTATTTGGGAGGATTTCTGAAAAATAAAGTTTGGTTTGAGGTGAATAATGCAGATCCTGGCTATGCTAAGTAGCTACACACTTACCTAAATCAGAAGAACTGAGAGAAGAGAATTAGTGTAGAATTTGAAGAAAACACACATATTTTAGTTATTTCAGGTATGAATTTGGCCTAATTGTTTATCTAACGGCCTGCCCTGTTTTCCACTTGGCTGTGCCTGCAGAGACCTCAGCCACTTTTCTGAGAGCCCAGGTCTCCTACTGGGTGGGGTCATTTCCCAGACAACTTACTCCCACTCCCTACTACATAATTCAGGTGTGCCTTTGGAAAAAGCTGCTCAGGCAGAATTGGAACATAAACTGTCTCTACCCACGTAATCTTTGGCTGTGAAGGTGTGGCCCAAGGTTAATTTTCAGAATGTATGGAGATAAGAGGCTATGATACACACACACACACACACGCACCAACCAGACAAAAACAAAAGACATGCCATCTTGTCTAATAGAATATATGAGACAGAGGAGACCCAACAGATCTTTCATTGATTGGTTCTCGAAACGCTGGTGGTGGATCTATGAGTTTTCATTGCTCTGCAGCAAGGATGACAAAAAAAAGAAACATGCGCTGCATTTTTCATAAAGCTCAATGTATTCAATATAAAGGACCGTCCTTTATTCTTAGCGTATTTCCCTTCTACTTTCGGGGTATTAGAATATTCTTCCTTTTATGAAATGTGATGGTAATACAACTTCTGTAAGTTTGTTTTTCATGGTCTTATAGGCAAAGCTGAATTTAACTTAAAAAAAAAAATGTTTTTAATAGTGAGTGAATTCCCCAAAACCACCCACACTGATCTAGGTGACTTCCTTGGTTTATCACTAAGGAGGAACGGAGAGGTGACGTGACTTGCCTGAAGTCACATATGGGGAGACCGGTCGAGCTGGTCCTTGAGCCCCTGGCTCCAGCCACCAGACCGACACCCATGTCCGTCCAGCACGTGGCCCCCTCCACGTGAACGGACTGCCCAGGGCCAAACCTCACTCAAAACTACTGCACTGCTTTGGGCTCTGGTTGGTCTGGCCCAAGAGCCTCAACTAATTCAAGGGCTGAAAATGCCAAACACACTTGAGTGTGGTCTTTGAGTAAAAACAAGTTGGGAGAACGCTGGACCAAATGAGTGTGGAGTGCTGTGCACAGGAATTATTTTCGTCGGCGAAGTGGCTATAAATGATGTCTCGCCAAGCACAAGAGCGAATACTGCAATGTTTTCCTCATGTATTTTAGAATGTAATTTTAAGAAGTGTGGCAACATTCAGGAAAAAAACGGATGGTAAATTAAACCTTCCTTGTCTTAGGATAAATAGCTGAAAATTACAGGGTTTTATTGGTAAACAGTGTTAGCATTTTCTAAGCAGATTTTTTTTTTAAAGATTTTATTTATTTATTTAATAGAGAGAGAGAGAGAGAGAGAGAGACAGTGAGAGAGGGAACACAAGCAGGGGGAGTGGGAGAGGGAGAAGCAGGCTTCCCGCTGAGCAGGGAGCCCGATGCGGGGCTCGATCCCAGGACCCTGGGATCATGACCCGAGCCGAAGGCAGATGCTCAACCAGCTGAGCCACCCAGGCGCCCCCAGTGTTAGCATTTTCTAAGCAGATTTGTTTTTCCCTAATGTAGAACAAAGAAATGTGCATTCAGCCTGAATGTATTAACAATTGATTGTTCCAAATGTGGACCTTCAATATGAAACAATGTGCTGGTATTCGATGTCGAAGAGGTACAATAAGCAATGTTATAACTTAATATGAAATGGAATCTCCTCTTGCCTTAACTATTAAGCTTAGGAGTGAGAGGGAAAAAATCCTCTTGTTTAAAATAATCTTGCTCTATCATAATAATATTACCATAGCACTGAATGGATAAAGGAGGCTTTTATCACTTAACAGAGGCAAAGATCTGCAGTTAGACCCTTGGTATTATTTCATAAACATCCAAAACAATCATCAAGCTTCCTCAAAGCTGAAAGCTGCTCTGTGCTCTTGATGGAAAGCACACGGATGCTGAGTTTCTCGTGTATTGAGTGGGTAGAGATTTCTAAAACACAAAGTCATTAGTGGTCAGCTAACTCATTTCCCTTGGTAGAGCACACGATTAGTCAGCCATTGATTCAAAGGCATTAATTCAAAGGCTCGATCAGCCCCCTCTGTGTGAGTCATTTAAAAATTCTGCTGTCTGAATATAAAAAGCAAATCTTGATAGTCAACAGATTTTCAATGAGTACTTAATACAATGCACCATGCCAAGAATTATGCATGAAACTAAAAACTATACAAGGCAAGATGGTGGTGTTTTTGTTAAAATTAACAAGAAGGCCCCCCACAAATATTTATATTTGTACTTACATTTATTATTTATATTTATATATACATGTCTATAGGCAGTTAAATTGAAAAATATACTCCAAGAGGTTATGGTGGGATTGGAGGTGATGTTAAAGTTCTCCTTTCTGGTTGACTACATTTTATAAATCATGTTAAATGAACACGTATTGCTTTAAAGAGTTTTTGTTTTTGTCAGAAGATATATGAAAGAAAGTCCCTAGTTTTGGGGTAGACTATGAGGAGAATGGACTGGCTGCTGACAACCACTAACAAATCCTTTTGCTTTCTTACTCAGCTTTTCAAAAACCATGTTTCTATGTAAATAACATAATAAGAACATTCTATGTTCTAAGAACATGTTCTAAGAACATTCCAATAAATAATTTGTTCAACTATATTCAGTGAAAATTCACCTTTTATGGGCTTGTCAATAAACCAATCCTCCATTTAAAACAGTTTCTATGGTAAAGTGCATTTGAATATTCAATAAGCAACTTTAAAATTGAATTTTTGGAACATAACTCAGAAATGCGGAAGGAACTTATACACTTGCCTTAGTGTATGATAATGACAAGTAATGCCTACTGTTACTTGCCGCATTATTTCACTTAACCCTACAATAGCCTCATGTGGGAGATTTCATTATCATCCCCATGTTCCACGTGAGGAAATCAAGGCACAAGGATCACAAAACTTGCATGAGGTCATCAAGCCTGTGCAGAGTAAGGCTGGAAGCCAGGCAGTCCAGATCCACAGCCTGCACCCAACCCTCAGCCCCTGCCTGTTACCCCAAGCCACGGGACTTGCACAGAAAAGTGACTGACATGTTTTCATGATGATAAGCCCAGCTTAAAGTGAGCATATTTCAATTTTTTGACCAAATATAAGCAAAAGTTACCACTGAATACAACTGCTTCCATACAAGTAAATGAAAAGGAACCTCTGCCCAGGTACCTAGCAGTCAGCTCAAGTTTTCTGTAAAGGGCCAGAAAGTAATTATGTTAGGTCCTACGGTCCTGTGGCAACTACTCACCCCTGCCTTTGTCGACTGCAAGTGGGCACAGGCAAAAGTACAAGAATGAGTACGGCTGTATTTCAGTAAAAGCTTTGGCATAAAATGGGCAGCGGGCAGATTTCATTTGTAGGCGGTAGGCCACCTCCCCCAATCAAGACGCTATTATTAATGTAGCTAACAAATCCAAATATATCTGTTAATGCTTAAAAGCAGGGGTTTAGGGCACCTGGGTGGCTCAGTCGTTAAGCGTCTGCCTTCGGCTCAGGTCATGATCCCAGGGT